GTCATCTCCCAGGAGAGGGGTTTGCTGTAAGGTAGGTGACTTACGAGTGTGAGAAGTTTAAAGTTTTCCACATGGGGCTTGGGGGACAGTCAGCCGGAAACGCAGAAGCATTGTGGGGTCGGGCTGAGTCAGCCTGGGGGACCGTGGATTTCTAACTCCACAGGCTCTCAATGAAGGTGCCACTGGCATCCACGCAGAGCTGGAAAACCTGGGGTGGTGGTGCCTGGAGTCATCTCTGGCCATCCTCTTTTGTTACACTGAGGCCTGTCCGTTCACCTCTGCAGGAGAGCTCTGAATCACCCCGTCTCCCCGCACCCTCCCACCTTCTGTTTATCGTGTGCAGCCTGCTGGGAGCATCCGCTGCTGCTGGGGAGGCACAAGGATGGGGGGCGGGGAATCCACACCGGGCAGGTGGCCATGAATCATCGTCCCCACCCGGCACTCTTCGAATGCCCTGTGTCTGTTCTCCTCTTTTAAAAAATATGCTTCCCATTTTAGAATAGGTCATATATATATGTGTGTGTGTGTGTGTATATATATATATATATATATTTTTTTTTTGCAGCTGGCTGGTAAAGGGATTAAACCCTGGACCTTGGTGTTATCAGCATCACACTCTAATCGACTGAGCTAACCAGCCAGCCCAGGGATAGTTTAGATTTATGGAAAAACTGAAAAGACTGTACAGAGAATTCCCACACACCTTGCACCAGTTTCCTCTGTTACGATCTTACATTGCTATGATGAACCAATATTGATGCATGATTATTAACTAAAGTCCATTCTTTATTTAGATTTCCTCGGTGTTTCCCTCACGTTCTTTGTCTGTTCCAGGATTCCATCCAGGATCCTACATCACATTTAGTCATCATGTCTCTTTAGGCTCCTCTTGGCTGTGATGGTTTCTCAGACTTCGTTTTTGATGACCTTGACAGTTTTGGGGAGCGCCTGTCTCATATATTCATATATTGTAGAATGTCCCTCGATATTTGGATATGTCTGATGCTTTTCTCATGGCTACACTGGAATTATGGGTTTTATTGGGGGAGGACAACATGGTAAAGGGCCATTCTCATGGCATCTTATCAAGGGTACATGCCACCAGAATGACTTATCACTGGCGATGCTGACCTTGATCACCTGGCTGGGGTCGTGGGAGCTTGGTTTCTTCATGGTGAAGTTACTCTCCCCCTGCTCCCCTTTCTGTATTACGCTCTTTGGAGAGAAGCCACTACGCACAGCCCACAAACTAAGGAGCCGGGGGTATGTTCCGCCCCCGTGTGAGTGGAATGCCTGCGCAGATGCTTTGGAATTTTTCTGCCAGGAAATTTGTCTGTTCTCCTGGGCATTTTTTACACACAGTATCTCCTGTAATTTTCACAATTACGAGGTTAGCATTATCTCTCATTTTACAGATGCAGAAAAGTTCACTCACCTTCCCAGGGTCACCCAGATTTTGAGGGGCAGGCCTGGGACATGAACTTGAGTGTTCTCAGGGGCAGCTCTCTTAAGTACTAAGCTGTTTGTCTACACTGTGTTCCACTGAAGCAATTTCATGCAAACTCACTCTCTGGGTCACTTGTGCCCTTCTCTTAGGCAGGATAAGACTCACTGTGGGGAGGTGGGGTGCCCTTGGGGTCTCTATGGTGAGCCTACCCTTTAAAAGGGCTTATCCGAGGATTGCAGGAACCGAATCGTGTTCCATAATGTCTAAGTTGGACTAGGCTCAAGCTAGATTTTGATATGATGCATGTTCGGGTCCCCTCGTGCAAGGAAAGCTGTGTGTACAGATATTCACTTAAGAAAAGGGTAGCCCCCTTTTGGCTAGTTGTCATGGTTTTTAAGAAGAAAGGTTAACATTTATACATTCTCACACCCTTGGTTGCCATTGAACGAGGTCATCTGTGAGATGAAGCGTTATTCTACCGTCCTGGGAAAGCCAGGGAGAAGCGGGGAGCGATTTCTTGGGTTACGGAGAGCTTCAGCCTGTAGTGAGAACGAGTTGGCTGCATGTTGGTTTTTCCGAACTCGACATGATACGCAGAACAGATCTGTGTAATGGCAGTTTGCTTTGCGGATTTTCATTTTCCCCTCTCCTCGCCTGTTCAACGTGTTGAGGATATATCCGTGCAAAAGACATCCTGCCGAAAATTGCGACAGACACGCTATTTCACGTGGTTAAAGAAATGGCTCTACAGGAATTGAAGACTCTGGCTCAATCTAAATGACAGGTGCTGCAGAATGTTTAACTGGACGATAAACCAAACGGAGATCAAAGGATCCCCCACCCCCTGTGGTTGCCAGCAATTGAGTTGCTTTGGGTGCTTGACAGCTGCTCCATTCCCCGCCACCCGCCAAGTGACAAAGGACGGTAAAGCGGTGTATGCGAGTCAGAAAAGCACCAGCTGCTGGCCAGCCCCGCGAGTCACACAGCCAGGGTCACGCCCTTTTGTGTCCTGCTTGTGGAGGTCCTGGCACTCACGCTTGTCAGCGTTTGTCCTAACACTGGCGTATTCGTCAGGGCTTCTCTCTCAGACAGGCCCACGGTCCCCTCTTTCTGTGTGTGGTGAGTTCGGGAGACGGGCTGAGGTCAGTCACCTGCAGTCAGCTGTGCTTGTTAGGAGAGGCCACTCTCTTACCTTACTTTTTTTTTTTTTTT